GGGGGGTGTCCCGAGGTGAGCGGAGCCTGGCGGGTGTGGCGCGAGCAGAGAGGGGGCGGAGGCAGCAGCGGCTGGGCCGCGGGAGTCCCTTCTTCAGGACGGGTGCCACAGGCGATGCCAGTCGGTCCCCCACATTCCGGGCAGGCCCCCGTGACCTCCAGGGGGCGGGTCTGGCCTGGGCCTGGGGGGCTCACCGGACACTTCCTGCTCGGGGGGAGGCTGGCTGTCGCAGGCCACTGTGCACGCCACGCCCACGTGTGCCCCTTCCTGTGCAGCCCGGCCCTCCCTCCCAGCCTGCCGCCAGCATCCTAAGCCCAGCTCAGGCCTGGCCTGGGTGACCCGGTGCCCGGCAGGGGTGGGGACAGGGCCGTCCACGTGCCTCCCCAGGCCCAGCTCACACTGCCGGCCGCACGGGCACGTCCCATCCTCCGCCCTCTCCTGCTGGTGTGGCCCGGGCTGGTGGGGCTCGTCCCCACTTTCAGCACGGCGCCCTCCCCGCTCTTGGTGAGGCCACGAAGGGTGGGTGGGATCGCAGCCCCTCAGCCCCCAGGGCGCTGCTCACCCTGCCAGCCTCTGCCCTCTCTTAGGCTGGCTACAGAGGCCGGCCCCTACGGCAAGGGTCAGGCGCCTCTGTCCCACCCCTGCCAGCACCTTGTCCCCTCCTGGGTGGGTAGGTGGGCAGTTGGCCCCCAGAGGGACAGCCGCCTAATTAGGAAGTTCAAAGGAGAGCACGCTCGCGGGCCCCTGTGCCGTCCCCGGGGCTGCCCAGCGTCTCCCCGAGGCTGGTGCTGGCCTCCTGCGACCCCCCCGGCAGAGCAAGAAGCTGTGGCCGAGGGACAGCTGGCCCCCAGACTGAGGCTCCTCCGTTGGCCTGTGTGATGCAGTAGCGTCGAGCTGTGGCAGCTGGGAGTGGACGTGAAGTCCAGGAGCCGTGAGGGGGCCCCGGGGCCCCTCTGCAGCCGCCTTGCTCTGAGCACCTGAGGGCCTCCTCCCAGCGGCCCCACCTCTTCCCCTTCCTGGTCGAAGGGTCTGGGGAAACCAGACGGGAGGGGCTGAGGGGGCCTCTTCGCTGTCCTTGAGGCTCGTGTCGCCACAGTAGGGTCTGGACCTCCCCACAGCCTGGAGGGCAGTGGGCTTTGGGGCAGCGCGACGCTCAGGGGTGTGGGCCTCGGGTGCCCGGGGCTCCCTGAGAGGACAGCCCGGCCAGGACCTTTGGTTTGCTCCCAGCTGGGGTCTGGGGAGGCTGAGTGGGCCCAGCAGGGTCTCATGTCCCCCTCATTTGCATCTATGACCCCAGTGCTGTCCAGTGGAGAGAGGATGCTGGGGGCGTCAGGGCAGCCATCGGGAGAGAGGGAGGTGGGCTTCAGCCGCGTGCTGAGGCTCTGGCCTGGGGATGGGGTGGGTCCAGGCGGAGTCCGAGGCCTCAGGTGGGAGCCGGGCCAGGCTGTGCTGGGAGAGGTGCTGGAGACTGTGCTGGGAGCTGCCCTGGGCAGCGGGCACTCTCTCCACGGGCAGGGGACCCAGGCCAGGGAGCCTCGGCCTGCCCACTGGGTAAAGAGAGGCCAGTGCACAGTGGTCATCACGGCACGTTCCACGGCACGGGCGGAGCGGCACCGGTGCACCCACCCGTGGCGACACTGACTCCTTCAGGCTGGCATCGGATCAGCCTCTCCCACCCCCTCATCCGCACGTGGTCAGAGCAGGGAGCAGTGCCCCATCACTGCCGGGCCCGGACTGAGGGCCGTGTCACGACCCAGCCTCCACTGCAGGCGTGGAGCAGCTCCGAGGCCAGGATCGGGGCCTCTCGTGCCCGCCCCCCCGGGGCTGCCCGCTGCTTCCTCAGTGCTCAGCCCCAGGGACTGCGCCAGCCGGCTCTGCTTGGTGATGGCACTGACTGCTGAGTCTCCGAAGAAAATGGGCCCTGGGGAGCGGGGCGGAGATTCCACACTCGTCCCCAGGGCGGCTGGGCCCATTAACCCCTGCGGGCCGGGCTGGTGTTGGCCTCGTGGTGGCCCAGCTCCAGCTATCCTGGGACCCAGCCCGGCCTGCCCCTCCCTCATCAGACCCCAGACCCAGATCTTCCAAGGCGCTGGGTCGTCAGGGACCTGTGGGGGTCTCCAGCTGCCAGCGTCTGGGTGCCAGGGGCGTGGAGACCACTATACAAAAGGGAAACTGAGGCCTGAGAGGAAGGGCCTGGCTGCAGCAGTCTGTGGCCTCCCTGGCCCCGGCAGGTTCTGGAAGCCCGCCATGGGGCCACGGAGGGCTCGTTGGAACCCTGCTGCCATCCGGCCAGGCTCAGGGCCAGCAATGAGGCCAGGGTGGCAGCTGGGCGGTGCCTGAGCGCGAGAGCTGTGTCAAGGACGGCGCTGGCCATGCTCAGAGAAGGTCAGGAACGGGCTCTGAGTCGGGGCCGTGGGGGCAGGTGTCTGCGCAGGTGGGAGGTCAGGAACGGGCTCTGAGTCGGGACCGTGGGGGCGGGTGTCTGCTCAGGTGGGAAAGACCGTTCATCAGGCAGAGGTGCGCCACGTGGGGGTCCTGCAGAGACAGCCTCCCCACCCCGAGCTCCCGAACGCCGTCCTCTGCACGCTTAGGCCGCCCCCGCCCCTGCACCTGCACCTGGGAGAAAACCTCCGAGAGGCCCTGTGGCGGCCACACCTCACATCCCAGCCCTCCCTGCATCCTCCCAGGTCCCCACGGCGCTGGGGGCTGTTGCACCCTCCCCTCCACCTGTGGGTAGAGCTGCTGCGCCGTCCACTCCCACGGGCCCCCCAGGCCCCCAGAACCAGCCACAAAAATAGCCCTCAGGGGGGCTCGGTATCTAGAGGGAGGCCCTGTCAGGACCCCCAGCACCTGCCCCATGAGACAACGGCTGCAGGAGAAGCTGGCCACAGAGCTAATTATCAAAGCCAGAGACAGAGACAGAGAGAGAGAGAGAGAGAGAGAGAGAGAGAGAGCATTGCAGGAGATCAAAGGATGGCTCGAAATGGCTCTGCAGCTAAAACATGAGGTCCCAGTGAGAGATTCAACAGCAGAATTGAAGGAACAGGTGGTCAGTGCTGAGACGCAAAGTAGCGCCTTGAAGATCACAAGGGAAAAGGTGAAATTCTTGGGTAGAGATTCAGGGGAGGTGACGTGAGTAACAGGAGCTCCAGGAAGAGAGAAAGGAGCAGACGGGAGAAGCAGACACAGCGTGAGAGCCCTGGCTCCAAGGGAAGGGCCCTTGCCCCAGGCCGTGCCCCAGCAGGCGCCAGGGAAGTTCTCTGGGAAGCGAAGGAGGCTCGCGTGGATCCAGGGAGATGAGCCCAACCCACGAAAGGACAAGAGTCAGTCGGACTGTGCAGCAGGCAGCACTGCCGCCCCCGGCGTTTCCAGTACTCTCCCTCCCCAGGCAGGTGACATGCATGAGTGACCTGTCGCCCTGGTTCTCTGCCCTCCAACGCCCCCCCCAAGGCCCGTGGTGACTGGGACCCGCCACCAGTTGAGACCTGGGCGCCGAGCACGCCCGCAGCCGGCCTCAGTGGGAGCAAGAAGCCCACGTGTGTGTTAAGCCCCGAGACTGGGGGCTGCTGCTTCCAGCTGCACCTCCTCTCCCAGCCCGACATGCACAGGGCCCTGGACTTCCTGTCCGTGCAGGCACCCTCGCCTCACTGCACTTCGCAGACACTGCGTTTTTGCAAATTGAAGGTTTGTGGCACGCCTGTGTCGAGCAAGGCCATCAGCGCCAT